CTGTAAAACAGTCACAGCTCTTCCTGGCTTTATCTATACTAAGTATAGATATGTATTTCGTAACTCAGAGTCATCACAACACCCTTGCTAGTTCCGGTAGCTTCCTGGAACACTGCTGAGGACTCTGATGTGCAAGCCTGAGGGCAAAGTGCGGGAAACGTTGCATGATTAACATGTCTGCTGAGGGCCAGGGAATGCGGAGCAAAGCATACACATGTCTTGACTTTGCCACCCCTTGATGGCACAAATAATTACTAGAAGGGAGAGAAGGTGAAGAGAGAAATGCCTGTCAGACATGGGGATACCTGGCTGTGTGGCCTGTAGGCCTGTTTTCTGTCTGTGGAGTGAGGGGACTGGATCGAGGGGTTCTGAGATCTTCCCTCTGTTAACTCCTCACAAGACTCGTCACTTACTCACTGCAAGAAACGAAGAATCGTTTCAGGACGCACACAGAGAAGCCCTGGCTGCGTGAGACCCCCAGGCCCAGGGCCTGTGCACCCACCGAGGCCCAGGCTGTGATCTACACAGGCTGCACCCTGCACCACACCAGCACTCTCCTCGTCATCACCCACTCCTGTCCTCTTGGCATTTCAATCCTCGGGGATCCCAGGCTCCCCAGCACCCCAATCTTTTCAGTCCCTGCTTTGATCTCTCCCCTTAAAAGCTCCTGTGGGAAAAAAGGCCCAATAAAAGGTCCCTTGCACACCTTCTCATAGTGAGAGGTGGTAGTTGTTATCATTATTATTTTAAGGGTGAGTGAGCCTGCCTGGGGCCTCTTAGCATCTAACTTGAATGCCCAGGTCCCTTTCTTTCCCGGGGAATTCCTAGAGGTGGGGAATGTTCCCCCTACTGAAAAGATTGCATCACGGACAGTGAGACGGTGGCACAGGGATATCAGTTTTCTCATCTGTAAAATGGGACCACAATGGGGTCATATCGAGAGCAGCTGTGAAGACTGAGTCACTGAGTCACCATGCACAGCCCAGGCCTCTGGTAGCACTCTCTAACCACTTAGACTCCAAGTGGAGCTGCTGTTATTCCTACTGTTAGGGACAGGGAGTCTGTCTGGCATTCCTCAAAACTCTCCTTGAAGGTGGCTACTCACACCCTTTGCTTCCCCTGGCCTACAAAATCAGTTTGCTATTTTATTAGATTTTTTGGTTTGCTCTTTTAAATTCCACTACTTTCTTTTTCGCTGCACTCCCCCTGCGAAGCCCTAGGTGACACTTGATGTCCTTCATTCGGGACATTCCAGCTTTTTCTTTCACGAGCAAATCAAGTACCCAGCAGCTGGAGCGCTCATTAAGGGTTCCCGACCAGGGGAGAGACCCTGATGGGGGAGGAGTGGGGCCTGAGGTCTGGAAGCCACCCTCAGCTCCCCAGGCAATGCACACCCCCCACTTCCCCCCAACCCCCCACCATTCTGGCCTACCCCTCCCAGGCTTAACCCCTTAGACCTGGGCTTTCTGTTCACATGGGGCCCTGGCTCATCCCATCCAAGGATCTTTCCTCTAGATGCCAGCTCCCTCTTCCACCAGCTCCCAAACACAGCTGTGCCCCAGCACAGTGCCTTCTCCACTGTGGATTCCTGTCTCCAAGCCACTGCTGTGTGTGTCACCAGAGGGCCCAGTGCCCTCAGTGAGGCCAGGGAGAGTCCAGGCCCACCTGCTTCAGGACAGTCACCAACCCCATGTGCTGTTCCACTTCCCTCTCCTAAGAGTCTCCCCTTGCCGAGAGGGAGGATGAGGAATCTGAGATTCAGGGAGGGGTGTGGCCCACCTAGGCCACCCCACCTGGCTGGCAAGGCCCAGCTGGAATCCCTGTCCGATCCCCATGCTCACTCCCACCGGGTGCCCCCCAGAGCAGGAGCCCTGCACATCCATGTCGTGCTCAACATCCCCCTCTTCTCTGGGCACCCAGGGTCTCCATCTCGGCCTCACCCCTTCTTCACCACTGCCCCCGGCTCAGACTGGGGGAACATACCTAGGAGGAAAGTCCTCATGTTGCTTGGGGTGGAGGAGGAGGGGAAGCTTTGCTGCCTCAGAAGGGGCTGGTTGCTGGCACAGCGCCACCCAGTAGAATGTTCTGGGATAAGGCACCTGCCCTATATCTGTGCAGCCACTAACTACAGGGGTCTCCTGGAGCACCGACTTGAAATTTTTAGTTCATTTTAGTTAAGTAAAATCTAATGAGTACTGCATGGGATGGGGCGGTCCTTAACGCATCCCCTTGGCAGGCCCCACCCAGGGGACAGGTCCACACAGAGATGGTCACCACCTCCTCCTCCCACACAACAACCCCTCTGGCGCTGACACCTCCCCTGCTGACCTCAGGGGCCACTGCTGATGCCATTTCCACCATCCCTCTGTGTCCCCACTGCACCCCAGGCTCCTCTGCCTGGCACTAGCTTCTTGTTTGACCTCCATGCTCTGCCTTCAGCTCCCACTCTCAGGCATAACTGCCTTTCTCAAGACCTGTCAATGGCTCTCCATTGCTCTCAAGCAGAACTATCTCTAAGGCCCTTCCTGACTCAGGCTGTCTCTCTCCGGCTATAGCTCCCATCACGCCTCTCTGCCCACCCTCCAGAATCTGGGACTTACTTCTTTCACTTCCTCAAGGCAAACGTCTCTTTCTGGCTTCCAGCCTCCAGAAGCTTTTTCCTTTGCCTCTTAGAACAATGTCTCATATACTCAATCCCTGTGGCCTGGAAATCTCCTGTCTACCCTTTAAGCCTTTGCTTGAAAATGACTTTCCCGAGAAGTCCCTGCAGTCAGCTACGTTTTCTTCTTGGAATCTTATTTGTAAATTTAGGAGGGCAGAAGTGTGTCCTCCGTAATCCCTGGCCCGTAGCTACTGCTCTGAAAACATTTGCTAAATGGATGAATGAGACTGGACGAAGCAGGGTGGCGGGCCATAGCAGAGCGAGCGCCACAAGGGGAGAGAGAGAGGAGGCTTGGCTTCCAGTCTTCGATCTGCCATGTGACTACAGGTAACAAGCAGGTTAAACTCTCACAACTTAGCCTACTGCCTCTTGGGACATAAGAGAACAAGGAACTTACTTTAAGGCTCCTCATCTGCTTCTGAGGGCGAATTCAGAAGTCAGGCAGGTAAAAGATCTAGCAGTCGGTGAGCTACACATGATACTGCAGCTTGAAGAAGAGGAATCAGCATGTCAGATAACTTTGTCAGTTCTGGGCCCCAGAGAGCATGAGACTTGGCAAGGGTAGGTCCGTCTTAAGCAGAGGAAGCAAGGATCTGGGAAAGACTGGGTCAGCCCTGGCCAGCAGGAAGGGTTGGGAAGGGGAGAGGATGGAACAAGGAGGAAGCAAGTGACACTCCAGGGTCTAATGCGTATCCCTCAGCAGTCAGGCTCCCTGAGGTATCTGGGGGAGTCCTCCCTCCCCTGGCATCACTTAGCCATGCTCAGGAGCACTCTCAGCCAGTCTGCAAAGACTGTGCTGCTCAAGCTGCTGAATGCCCCACCTCAAACCACTACATCTCCATCTCCTTCCCCCACACAACACACAACACACACACACACACACACACACACACACACACACACATACACACGGCCCAAGCTCCAGTCTGACAGCCCTCTAGATTGACTGTAGCACTCTGGAGCTACAGGAATGCACTGACAGCTAGCACCAACAAACTTGCCCCACAGCCACCATCTCCACCCTGGTGCTGTGACCTCCCACTCCTTGGCCATCGGGGAAGCCGCTTTAGCATGTACCGCCTCTGCCTGGAACAGGCACCTGAGAGCCTGGCTATAGCGAATGGATGTACCAGATCCGAATGGTCACAGCCCCCACTGCAGTTAGAGTCAAATGCATGCCATCTCTTTGTGAGTTCAGAGATGTTAGGGTATTTGCCCTAGGTTGCACAGCTTCTAAGTAGTAGAGTGGGAATAAGACCCAAGCACAGGACTCCTCTGCCTGTTGCCCACTGCTCCCTACCACCTCCTACGAAGCAAGAGCCCCCGCACATACACATGCCACCACCACACACATAGCGTGGGCAGCCTGCTTCAGCGTGTTCCCAGACTTCCACAGCCCTCACCTGTAGGGCCCCCTGCACCCGGGCTCTGCATCTCCAGGGCTGTGCAGATTCTCAGCCCTCAACAGGCCTCACATCTACATGCCCAGGCTTTCCTTTGGTGGCACCAATGAGACTGTTCCTCCTTCTCAGGGAAGGAGAGGTCCCTTACCATGGTTAAGGGACACGAGTGACTTTTAATCCACTTGGAATCAGGGTATTTCAGGAACGGGAGAAAATTCAATATCCTTTCCCCAGAAAAATACACAGACACAAAATACCAAGTGCCATTTCAGGAAACGGGGAACAAGAAACCCAGCTGAAGAATAAGAGGGTATGGGATAATTCATGGCCAAGGCCAACAGGACCAGGTCCATCGCATCTGGTCCTTAGAGATCTGGGACAGTGGGCAGGAGCAGGACACCTCCCCCTACAAGGAATGCCCCCTCAACCCTTTGGCTGATCCATTCCCACGCACTCTCTTCCCAATGGAACGTGGCAATAAACTGTTCCTCCAGACAAGGAGGAAGGGCTGCGGGGGTCCAACAAACTGCCACTGGCGGCCACCGAGCGCGCGTCCCGCCGCGTGGGCGCTGGGCGGCTCTCACCACCTATGCGGAGTGATGAGAGGGAGAAGTGGAACTTGCCAACCTCCACTTACCCGGTGCGCGGTGCCTTCCTCCACCTGCCCGGTGCGCCCAGGGCGCTCCCGGTTCGCGGCGGGAAAAGGGGGAACTGAGGGGTCCCGCGCAAGCAGTCCGGGTCCCCTAGGTCCTACAGGACAACATCTGTCCCAGCTCCCCACCCCTCCCGCTGACAATCTGTGCGAGGCCGGGGCACGCAGCGCGCTCAGAAGACGAGAAGCAAGAACCCGCGGGCACCCGCTGGTCCGGAGTTTGGAGGCTGCGCGAGGGGGCGCCGCGGGGAGGGAGAAAAAGCCAGCAACAAAGAGCACAAACCTCTTCCAGCAGTTGGTTAACTCGTCCCAAAATAGCCGCCTCCATTTGCTGCTCCCCGCGCTCCGCTTCCAGGCGCTGCACCCGGGCCTGCAGCTCGGCGGTCCGAAAGTGGGCGAGCAGGCTGAGCCCCAGCGAGCAGAGGGCCAGCGCCAAGATCCCGCAGTAGCCGGGACTGGGGAGCCGCGCGCAGCGCTCCGCTGGCGCCGCCGCCAGCTCCACCGTCCCGGGCGCGCCCAGCTCCCCAGGGCCGCGGGCACCGGCTGCTGCCGCTTTGCGAGTGCGCTCCGCCACCATCCTTTCGCGTCTTGAGAACCAATAAATAAATAAATAGAATAAATAAAAGCAAGAGCCGCTGCCCAAAGGCGTGATCCAAGCTGTGCGGCGGGGGAAAGGGCTGTATCGCTGGAATTTGTCCCTTTCCTCTTGCTCCCGGCAAAGAGGACGGAAATATTAGCAGCAGGAAGGGGAAAGCCGAAAAAACATGACCAGCGGTAATCGGGGTACACCAGGTGAGGAAAAAAAAGTTACTTCGAAGAAAGTTCCACGTTCTGGAAAGTTAGGGGAATCTGGCCGGCTCTCCTCTCCTTCAAGTATTTGCAGAGTCCTCAAGTTAATTCTGTGCTGTGGGTCCTTGTCGGTGTCTCGCGTCTCCCTGGCGAGCCAGTTTCAGTCCCAGCGCGAAGGGGCGCACATGGAGAGCCCCATGGGCAGAGGTGGGTCGTGGCCGCTGCCGGGGAGCGCTGGGGCCGATTCCGGCGCCTCTGTAACTTGACACACTAGCGGCGGCAGCTCGGATCGGATGAGCAATGAGCGCTACTTCCCAAACTAATCTCTCCCAGCACCCCC